TGTATGTGTATAATATTAAAGTCACAATGAAACAGAAGTAGCAACAGATCTTCAGCATTGTGATGCACAGTACAGTCATGTCAAAAAATAAAAATATAGGGCTTGGATTGGAGACAGATCTGAATGTGAGCTTGCAGAATGTTGTAGGAAAAGGGCCGTGTTTAAGTGTAAGGAATGATTTGAGAAGACAGGCATACATCACCATGGTTACATTGTGACATTATAATTATGAGATCAAATAAAAAAAAAGGGGTAAAAAATGCTATATAAGATCGATAACTTGTACATAGATAGGGTACATTTTTATTTCATGCTGTCTTCAAAATCAAACTTAGCAGTATTTTGGTAGATATGCTAACGTGGACAGTTTGCATGACATGCCCTTATCCTCGAGAACCATGAATGAAATTTTGCAAGGTAAAATAAACACATTGCAGACTATATTAAATATAGTTTGCAGGATGAACATGGTTTGCATCGGCAATGTATTTCATTAGCGTGAATTATTATATGTCGGGAGCGTGAAACTATTAAATTTATCAAACATTTTCTTGTTCGTTCTATGTCATTTAGCACATTGTTTAGGCTAACATTAATACATGCCAATGTTTGATTTTAAAGTCAGCATGAAACGTGAGTCGCAAGCATCTTTTATTTCTTTTTGTGATGTATATCCAAAAGAAATGGCTTCTCGAATGAGAAAAAAATTTAATAAATTGGGGCGGGACTTGTTTTTGCCCATAGGGAACTGATTAGATCATTGTCGTTTGTAATCTCATAAATTACAAGTTGTTGGGGGGGATGTAATTATTGTTTCACCCTCAAAAAAAAAAGTTCTTTGTTGGCATTGATGCTTCCATGAAGAACCTTTAGCATGCATTCATTCTTAAAAATAAAAGTTCTTTATTGGCATCTATAGTTCCATGAAGAAAATTTAACGTCCATAGAAACTATCCATTACATAAACAGTTCTTTATAGCGGAAAAAGGATCTTTGGATTTTCAAAATGTTCTTTATACTAAGTAAAAAAAAATGTTTCTTTAAAGAAAATTTAGCTGAAAGGTGCTTTGGGGAACCAAAATGGTTATTCTATGGCATCGCTGTGAAAACCCCTTTATTAATCTTTACTAAAGAGTGTAAGGGGAAGTATTTATAATTTATTAATTTAATTTCTAGTAAACGCTCCAATATTCAATTAATACGAATTGTTTTGATTTGATGCTTACTTTACGAACATTTTTTTTATTTCTGTACACTTGTACTCTGTTGCCACATAATGTCCAGTGTAAAACCAATTAAGTGCTGATTTATATGATTTTTTTGTGTGTGTTTGTGACTGTATGATAGCTGAAGTGTACCATAAACAAACACTCTAATCCGTTAGAGTCTAAAAACAATCGCATGAGGGGCAGTTTAGCCTCTCCCAGCTGGTGAGCTGAAGGGCGTCTCCCCAAGGCATCTGGCGTGTGTCCCCCAATAACCCCAAAACTAGCAGACCTTTTACAAAGCATGAGGGGCTTAGCTTTTGTGGGAGTTGTATACTGAGCATTTCAACTATTGCTGAAAAAGTGGTTTACTACTGAACACCTGATACCCACCAAAGAAATGTGATAGGAAAACATGAGCGCTTCAGTATGTTGCAGTTTACAGTTTTGTTCTTTAATTGAACACACCCCAAAATGAATACAACTTGGGGTTGTACATTAAAGATCAGTATAGCATTTTATTGTAGTTTTTAAGATGTTACATTAGAAAAGAAATGATCTGACTGTTAAGAAACTTTGACGGACATTCATTGCCTGATTTGTGCTGTTCGTTAATTTAAGGTTCACAGCACAAATACTTGTTAATTACCAAAGAAACAATAAGAAAATAAATTAATATAAAATAAATATTTGAATATATATATATATATATTTATAAATAAAGAAATCTGACATGACAAGTGTGTTCAAGAAATTTACGATAGTCAAAACTAGGTCAACAACAAAATATTTGAATATATATATATATATATATATAAATAAAGAAATCTGACATGACAAGTGTGTTCAAGAAATTTACGATAGTCAAAACTAGGTCAACAACAGCCCATGTCATTATGTCGTATTTCAAAATTGGTCGTTTCAAAACAAAAATGTGCCCCTCCCATTAACTCTCTAGTGGAGCATGCTTTACGAATATCGCCATTTTCCAAAAGCGCAGTTGTTTTAGTAAAAAAAAATATATATATATAGTAATTTGCCTTTGTTCTGTTTTTCCACTATTCCAAATCTACACATTTCCTCCTCATACACATTTCATTTTAATTGTTACTTGTTTTTGAGTCACTTTTCTCCAGACACTTTCCTCCCCCCTTAAACTGAGATAAGATGTGTCAGTTGGTGGTCAAATTCAAAAGGCTTT